AAGTACCAGGGCACAGACTTCTGGGAAGAGGATGTCTGTGGTGCTTAGGGGATAGGTGACGGGCCTGGCCTGGGAAGGCTGCCCCGATGAAAGAGCTTTGATACTGAGAAAGGAAGGTTGGAGTTAGAGCCCACCCAGAGGAGCCTTGGAAGAAACACCTGTTAATCTCCTTCCCAAAAGTCCCCCGTTGGAAGCCCTCTGGAGTGAGGCTCTGCCCTGACACATATGGGTCATCACAGGTCGGAGTCAACTCAGTGGCAACTGGTTTAGCTGCAAGAAAAGTGCTCTTGGTAGAGGGAACAGCATGGATGAAGGACTTGAGGTCAGAAAGAGCTAAGAGTGCTAGAGGAACAAGTGGAAGACCACAGGGAGAGGGGAGAGGAGAAGCAATGAGAGGAGAGGACTTTAGGGCAGGTGTTGCCCCTGTGCCACTTGACCCCAACCGAATGAGTCCTCTGGCCCTGGAGGGGAATGAGGGCGGGGAAGAATGGGCAGGACTCTGGTCACAGGTGGAGCTGGTCCAGATGACCTTTAAAGTACTTCCACTGTAGATACGGGATCAGTGGCCTGGAAGGGCATCCCTAAACATGGCACACCCAGATTGTGCAGGTAGAACAGGGGTTCTCAGAACCGGGTCAGGCCAGCTCCATGTGGCACGTGTAGGTACAGTCAGTGCACTGGGCCCTGCACTTTGTCCCTGAGACAGCTTGCCCTGCCCTCGGGTTTCCCCATCTAGTAGAGGAGACAGACTTGTATTGTAGGCAGGCCCTAAGAACCAGAGAGGTCATTTCTGGGATGAAGTGTGCGCAGGGGCTCTGGGAGCCCCGCTGTCCGAGGGGACTTGAAGGGACAAGCCAACATTCAGTAGGTGGAGAGGGGGCAGCCTCCTGTCTGAGGACCCAGCCTAGGCCTAGGTGCGGTGAGAGTTTGTGGGAATGGGCAGACCAGAAAGAGTTCCTAACAGTCTCTAAACCTTTAACCAAAACTATCCCCTAAATCTTCTTTAAACATGTTTAAATAGTATATCTAGCTTAATTAGTAAAGAACGTATGCCTTGGGTATTGAGCTCTTTTAAAAGGTGATATATACGAGGCCAAATTGACACCAGTAACTCTAAACATCAATGAGAAGATGATGGAGGCAGTGAGTCTAAGATAATGCTGGAACAATTTGAGTAGAAATTGGGAGATTATTGCTAGAAAATGATACCATAACCAGTGTCACTGAACTGTAAGAGTAGAAATTGTTGAATGGGTGCATATTTTGCTATTTTTTCACCAAAAATAAAATAAATATATATTTTTTTAAATTAAAAATACTTCTCGGGAACTAGGACACAGGGTACATAAGAGGAGGGATGCGAGGCTGGACCACATAATGGGGGGCCTTGAATGACGTGTTAAGGAATTTGCCTTTATCAGTGTTTATAGGAGTATTTTCACTCCACTTTTTGTCCCTCAGTCTAGCACCAGGCCTCAGGACACACTTGCTGATGGGGAAGCAAAGCTGGTCAGCTGGATGGGCTGGGGCATTGGAGCGAAGAAGAGGTGTAGGTTGGCCTGGTCTGGATTCTCCCTCCACTTAATAATACTCATTGGCAAATGAGGCAAACAAGGTTCAGGCCTAATTGGCATTTCACTGCCCACATGGTTGGCACAGAGAATTTTCCAGAATAGAAGTCAAGCCCAGAGTGATAGTAAAAAGGCTTGAGTGTGGAGAGGAGGGAAGGGCTCCCATTCGTGGATGTCAGGCTCTTGAGCTCCATCACTTGGTCAGACCTCACCTGGGCACAAGTGACAAGCACAAGCTGTCAGGCAAAACAGGAAAGACTGCCATCATTCTTCAAGTCTTTGCTCCAATAACACCTCCACAAGGCTCCCCAGTCACCTGATTTAAAACAGCACCCTTCCCTCTCTGGCACCCACGATACCCCTCACCTTGTTCTGTTTTTTTTTTTTTCCCCCACCGCATTTATTACCTTCCACGTGTGATTTACTTATTTTGTTTCTGTGAGGCAGTGGTTTTGTCTGTTTTGTTCACTAGTCTGTTCCAAGTGCCTGGCCTAGTGTGGAGCCTGGCACACGGGACGTGATACAGTAAATGTTGAATGAGTAAGTGGTGATAATACTGGTGAATAGTTACTGGGTGCTGTCTTTGTGCCAACACTGGGCTAAGCCCCTTCCTTTCCTGTGTTAGCTAGTGTAACTGCCACAAATCCCTGTGAAGTAGGGCTGATACATTTATCCCCATTTTGCAAATGAAGAAACTGATTTACCCAAAGTCACATAACTAGTCAATAGAGGAGCCAGAGGAAGACCCCAGGAAGGGGGCCTCTACCCCCCTTTCCACTCCCCGGCCAGCCGCAAAGTATCCACATGGGGGACAGGAGGGGACAGGAAGGACTCAGAGGGATGGAGCTTCAGAGCCATGTTGTCCTGCATTCTCTCAGTAGCTGGGGTAACCATGTAGCCATCATGGACATGTACCTGACATGGAGAGGGGGTAGGGAAAAGAAGCCAGGGGCCATTGCAGCCAAAGGGAAATGTCTTCTCCTGAGGGAAGAGGCAGGGTGGGCAGGGATGGTGGTAACAAAACAGCTGTGAGTCTTTGCCCTTTTAAGTGGTCTGTAGGATGGGTTTATTTTTTAGAAGAAAGGGGCAGAGTCCAGTTTCAGCAAGTCCCAAGGATCAGGCTAGGGGCCTCCATCAGGTCTTTGAGTGGCTGCTGATTGGGGATGGGTTCAGCCAGGCATGTGAGGAGCAGGGAGGTCCTGGTCATAGACAGGCCATGAGAGGCCACAGGAGGAAGAGGTGCCTTTGAAGTTCCCAGCTCTTACCTGGGGCTCACTCTTGGCCGCTGGGAAGAGTGTGTGGGGTGGACACTGGGAGGCTTGGGGGCCAGAGAGGTGGCCCAGGCCAACCATGAGCTTGGGGGCTGGAGCTGGCCCAGGGGGTCTGTCAGGGCCCTCTACCTCACTGGGCTGCCCATTGCAGAATCCACACAGGCGACAGACCCTACAAGTGCCCACATCCTGGCTGCGAAAAGGCTTTCACTCAGCTCTCCAACCTCCAGGTAAGTAGTGCCTACCTGCCTCCTGCCTGCCAGGTGCATAGTTTGCTCCCGCACTCCCAGGGAGCATAAGAAGGGTTGGGGCTGGGGGGCCCTGCCTGTCTCATGACCCCTTGCCGTGCTCCCCACAGTCTCACCAGCGCCAGCACAACAAGGACAAACCCTACAAGTGTCCCAACTGTTACCGGGCCTACTCAGACTCCGCCTCCCTGCAGATCCACCTGTCAGCCCACGCCATCAAGCACGCCAAGGCCTACTGCTGCAGCATGTGTGGGCGGGCCTACACCTCGGTGAGTGCCGGCCCTGCCAGTGCTGGGGTTCCCTGGCATCGCTGGGAGCCCCCTCCTTTCCCTGGGCCTCAGCTTCCTCTTCCTTCTCAGATCTGTACTGACTCTCCCTATTTTCCAGACAAGGAAACTGAGGCCTAGAGGGGGGAAGTGACTCCCTAAGATCACAGTGAGTGGCAAAGCTGGGACTTGAACCCAGGACTTCTACTTCCCAGCTCCGGCTGAGCACCTCGCCCTTACCTGCCCTTAGCCTGTGTTCCTGAGGTGTGGTTCTGTCTAGGCCTGGCTTACCTGGAGAGGATTGGGGAGCCTGGGAGGGAGAAGGGCCTTCCAATTGCTGGTGAAACTGCAACTCCCATCGTGGCCACAAGATGGCACAGTGACCTGGCCCAGAGCCACCCCTCAATTCTCAGGCAAGGCCTGAACAGTACTCAAAAGGTTATCACATCTAGCCCTCATCCCTGGGTAGGAATTTTCACAAAAGGAGGCCTTACGGTACCCAGAAGAGGGAAGCCAGGTGAGTCACTTGTATGTGTGCTCTGGTTAATTAGTAGTTCTGGTTAACAGACCACCTTGTATGCCCAGCATAGAGGTCTTTCAGCCTGTTTCTTCATCTGTAAAATGGAGGAGGTGATAGCTTTTAAGTCATACGGCTGTTGGCTGATAGAATTGGTGGCTAATTAACCTTACCTACTACAATTCTAGTCACTCTGTTTACTGAACACTTGTGCCAGGTACTTGGGAATCAGGAGGAACCAAACAGACACATTCTTTGCCCCTAAGGAGGTTAGCGTCTACTGGAGAAGACAGATAACTAAGTCACCACACGAATAAATATGTAGTGAAAAACCGTGGCAATTGCTACCACAGGGTTTCTCACCTTCAGCACTATTGACAATTTGGAATGCTTTGATGGTGCAGTGGATAAGCATTTGGCTGCTACCGAGAAGTTCAGTGATTCAAACTCACCAGCTCCGCAGAAGGAAGATGGGGCTATCTATTTCCATAAAGATTTACAGCCTCGGAAACCCAATGGGGGGTTGCTATGAGTTGGATTTGACTCAATGGCAGTGAGGTATGTTTTTGTTTTTGTTTTTTAATTCTTTGTTGTAGGGAGCAGGCTCCCTACATTGTAGGATGTTTAGCGGCATTCTTGGCCTCTGCCCACTGATGGGGGGAGTGGCAATGCTCAGTCCCAGTTGTGCCAACTAAAAAGGTCTCCAGACATTGCCAGGTGTCTCCTGGGAGGCAACATCACCTCCAGTTCAGACAGTGTCATAAAGGAAAGGTATGTTTTGAAAGATTAGCAGGGCTCACGGAACGTAGAGAAGGGGACGGGCTCAGGGAGGTCACCTGAGGACATGACGTTTAGATGACTCCTTGAAGGATGATTAGTCAGGTGAAGAGGAGAAAGAAGGGACTGGACCTGCCAAGCAGGGGAACAGTGAGTGCAAACAGCCTGAGGTGGAATGGTCATAGTGTATTTAAGGAAGTAAAGAAACTAGGTCACAGAGGGCCTTGGGGCCCAGGCAGGGAGTTGGGGTACTTTTTCAGATACTGTGGAAAACCATTGGGAAGGAGCTACCAGAAAGGATATTTTGAAAGGTCACTCTAGCTGGAGAGAACATGAGTTGTAGGTGGCGTGGTTAGTGTATTTGTCAGATGCCAGCCAAGGCTACTGCTTGCTAAGGGCTGAGTATGCGTCATTTATCCTTCCCTGGAATAAAAGGGGCAGAGGAGGGAACTGAGAGGCTGACAGGATGTGGCCCAGAGAGATGTGAAGGGAGTCCCAGAGAACTGAGAGTTCCAACTTGCTGGCTGACCTCGGGCCAGGCCCTAACTGTCTTCAGGCCTCACAGCTATGAGCTTCTGTCTGACCTCAGGAGAAGAGCCACAGATCTCACCTGGCCTCAGGCCCACCCTGAACTAGGCTTGGCTGGACCCTTTACACCAGAACAAGAATAATTACCACTGTTTTTTTGTTGCCACTTTAATGGATTAATTGTTCAACTATTTTAGTAAATAAAAGAAACAGAAGAGTGAACCTTCATGTCCCGTTGGCTCCCAGATGCATCCATCCATCTGAGTCCTTACCTACTCTTACTTTTTGAAGTGAAACCCAGATATCATATTATTTCATTTGTGAAAATTTGTAAATTTCTTTTTTGATCTCTAAAGATGACGACTCTTTTTTTCGTATATCCGTAATACCTGTCTCTCTCTCTCTCTCTCTCTCTCTCTCAGTGCTGTAGAGTCAGAGCCGACTCATAGTGACCCCTTGGGTTCCGAGGAGGTAATCACTGTGGAAGTAGATTGGCCAATCTTCCTTCCAAGGAGTGGCTGGTGGGTCTGAACCTCCAGCCTTCTGGTTAGCAGTTGAATACCTTAGATATTAGGCCACCAGAGCTCCCTAATACCTGTATAACACCTAAAAAGAACCATGACTCCATAGTGGCTAAGACACTTGCCTGCTAACCAGACGACTGGCGGTTCAAACCCACCAGCCACTCCTCGGAAGGAAGGTTGGGCAATCCTACTTCTGTAGTGACACTGCCTCGGAAACCCAAGGAGGGGTCACTATGAGTCGGGGCCGACTCGACGGCACATAACAGCAACCCATGTTCACATTTCCATTTGTCTCATGAATACCATAGTTTTATTTATTCACAACTTTATTCTTTAATCAAGATCCAAATGTAGTTTGCTTGCATTGTAACTGGTTGATACATTTCTGAAGTGTCTTCTTTTAAAAAATTCATTTTGGTGGTGAGACTATCCATAGCAAAACAGACACCATTCAGCCTTATCTACATGTGCATTCAGTGACAGATTACATTGTTGCAGTTGTGTAATCATTCTCACCCTTCTTTTCTGAGTTGTTCCTCCCCAATTAACATTAACTCACTGACCCCTAAATTCCTATCTAATCTTTCCAGTTGCTCTTGTGAATTTGATCCCATATAGATAATTCTTCAAAGAACATAATGCTCACGGCAGACCTTTGTTCCTAGTTAAGCTGAACTATTGTTTGGTGTGGTTTTCAGAAGACCTCAGGGGATATTTTTGGTTTACATTTTAAAGATGATCTCAGGGCACTAGTGTCAGGGGTTCATCCAGCCAATCTTAAGTCTCTTTTAATCAGTAGGTTCTGCCCCCCACCACCTTTTTTTTTTCCCTTTGCACCTTACTTGAAGAAGTCTAGTTGTTAGTCCTGTAGTTTTCCAGGTTAGATTTTGCTGATTGCCTTTAATAGCATGCGGCAACCACACTTGAAGAGTTTCTCCACTAGATTCTGAGCACATTGAGGTATGAGGCCAAAGGGTGGCAGGTGGGAAACCAGAGTACCAGCTCTGTGACTGATAAAGGCCAGGTGGGCGGGTGAAGTTCGAGCCTTAGGGCCTGAGGGTGAGGCCCTGGGTGGCCTTGGCCACATCATGGGCATCTCGGGTTGAGTTCAGCAGAGCCTGTGGGGACTTGTGGGGTGAAGTGAGCATAACACAGTTTATATTTCCTAAGCTCACCAAGCAGACTAGGCCACCCTTTACCCTACCCCGCAGTGAGGTCGAGTGAGGGGGTAGAGGCTGGAGTGCCCATTCAAACCACTCACTGCTGTCAAGTTGGATCTGACTCGTAGTGACCCCTCCTTGGGTTTCCGAGGTGGTATCACTATGGAAGTAGATTGCCCAGCCTTCCTTCTGAGGAGTGGCTGGTGAGTTTGAACTGCCAGCCTTCTAGTTAGCAGTCAAATGCCATAGGCTCTACATCACCAGAACTCCCAGACGGCCCGCTACCATCTGGAATAAAATGTAGAGACTGAGTAAGGAGTGCTCCCCTTAAACCTTATTGTTGGTGGGTGCTATGGAGTTGATTGCAATTCACAGTGACCCTGTGTGACTGAGTGGGACTGCCTCGGGATTTTCTAGGCTTTAATCTTCACAGAAGCAGATTGCTACGTCTTTTTAATGCAGAACCGCTGGGTAGGTTCAAACACCAACCTTTTGGTAGGCAGGCAAGTACTTAACTGTGTGCTACCATGGCTTCTTACTAGATACTAACAGCTGTATTCTCATCACCATAGCAACACTTGGAGGTTGTTCATTCACCATCCCTACTTAGAGAGAAGGAAACTGAGGCTCAGAGGAGTGCAATGATGTGTTCATGATCCCACCACTGAAAAATGGTAGAACTAGGTTCAAACCAAGGCCTGCTGCCTTGCCCTTGGTGGGAGCACCATCCAATGGGCGGGGAGTGTGCTTGGTCCAGCAGGCAGGGCTGCAGTTAAGCCAGTACATCCCAGTACAATCAGTTGGTGAGTGGCTGCCAGCTGGGCCCAGGGGAGCCCCAGGTAGGCATCACTCAGGGGAGCCAGCCTGTTTTGTGCCAGGTCTCCAGCCAGCATGCTGTGGGGCTAAGACGCCAGAACGTGAGCCCATGACCCCAGAGCTGTGTCTTCCCACTACCAGCTGGCCCTCCTGCTAAGGAGCCCTCCATTGGCCACTCATGGAACTGCAGCCTCCAGTGCATTCCCTACAAAAATCCATTGTGGACTAGTAGATACTGACTAGGAGCTCTGGTAGCGTAGTGCCTAAGGCATTTGACTACTAACCAGAAGGCTAGCAGTTCAAACCCACTAGCCACTCCTCGGAAGGAAGGTTGGGCAATCTACGTCCATAGAGATACTGCCTCGGAAATCCAAAGGGGTCGCTGAGTCAGGTCCGACTCGACGGCACATAACAACAACAGATTCTGACAGTGACCCCACGTATGCATAGAACTGCACTCCGTAGGGTTTTCAATGGCTATACTCATAGAAGTAGATCATCCCTGAGTGAATTCAAACTGCCAACCTGTCGGTTAGTTGCCAGTTGCCATTGAGTCATTTCCGACTCACAACAACCCCGTGTACAGAGTAGAACTACTCCATAGGGTTTCCAAGGCTATACCTTTGGGAAGCAAATCACCAGGTCTGTCTTCCAAGGCACCTCTGGGTAGATTTGAATTACCAACCTTCCAGTTAGTAACTGAGTGCAGACCGTTTGCACCACCCAGGGGCCACATGTTCTGAATCGCTCCCTTGCCCACAGGAGACCTACTTGATGAAGCACATGTCCAAACACACGGTGGTGGAGCACCTGGTGAGCCATCATTCACCCCAGAGGACCGAGTCCCCCGGCATCCCGGTGCGAATCTCCCTCATCTGAGCCGACTGGAGGCACGCCCCGCCCGGCCCGCTGGCAAATGCAGACCCAGGCAGCACCAGGCCCTAGCTCTCTGGGGGCCTCCAGGAACAGCCGAGCTCTCATGTCCTTCCCGACCTTTCAGGAGGCCTGGGCCGCAGAAGCCCGACCTCTCAGGAGGCCTGGGCTGCAGAGGCCCTACCCGGTGCGGCTCCGGGGCGACCAGGCCAACCTCAAGATTCTGGACTGTTTTGGTGGCATCCAAAGACGATCTCAGAGCACTTTGAATCTCTCTGTTGAGTTTTCTTTTTGTTCCCCACCCTACGCTTTCTTCACTTTTTTTCTTTTTTTTTTTTAAGTTTGTTTTGGAAATGACAGAAAAAAGATATTTATTGGCCAAGACGTTGGTGCTGCTAAGACCGAGAAATTAAAAGAATCGGACAGATAGACACAGAGAACCAGAGGGCAGCGTGGGACCTTCTCTTGCCACAGCCTCAAGTCTTGAGGGAAGGCTCAGGCCAGGTTTCTGGGCTACATAGGGGATCCCCAGGTGGGAGGGGGCAGGAGGCAGCTGGAGTGAGCTCCTCAGCCCTGGCTGCCCAGCTAGCACCTCTCCAGCTGTGCCCTGGGCATCACTGAGCAGAGGAATGAGGCAGCTACCAAAGCTGCCCAGGCTTCAGGAGGCAGAAACCAGAGAGGGGCCAGGAGATCTGCAGGACCAAAGGGTGCAGTGATGGGCTGGGTTGGGCGGCAGGCCCAGGGAAGTGGGGTAGGGGTGGGCTGGGTGAGACCTGGCTTCCCGCTGCCCCGAAGACCACCCCAGTCTACCTCGGTGCTGGCCAGGAAATCTATCGGCTACCTCTCCCGCCATCCCAGACTGTGGGCAGGGGACAGGGAGGGAGTGGGCCTGGAGCTAGAACCGCCCCCTCCAGAATTTTCTCCAGATGGGGGCAGTACCCAGGGAGGGGTTATTAGTCTTCCCTGCCATGGAGGGGGAGATTCCCAGCCCAGGCCCTAAGCCCCTCGGCAGGGAAGGGATCCTCGGGGAAGAGGGTCCCAGGAGCAGATCCTGCCCCCAGCCCCCACAGACACCCCAATCTGAAAGCCATGCGTGTCCATGTATATAGGAAACATGTACAGAGCCCGGAGAAGCCCCCCCACAACATCCCCCAGGAAAAAAAAAAGAAAGCTAGACAGAAACTCATCTATATATTCTGTATCTGGAGTTCCGTTTTGAATATTAACTGTGTTATTTTTATACACTTTTTAAGCCTTAACTCGCCATCGATTTACCAGTTTAACGTTTCCTGGGGTTTCTTTTCCCATGGGGTTCTCTGCCCCCACCCACCCCCTTTGTTTGACTTGCGTCGTCTGATACTCAGTATTGTAGCTTTTCGTCCGCATGTTACTACCCTGTAAATACGCTGTTATACATACTGTTAACACCCCTTTGCTTTTTTCTATGGGACCTCCAGGCCACCATACTTAGAACTAGTTACCTTATTAAAAAAGAAAAAACATTCTGTTGGCTTCTCAGTCTGCATCTTGGTGGCAGGGAGGTGAGGGCAGGTGCCCCTCAGACACGTCAGGAAAGAAGTTTGCATTATATTTTAAAAAGGGGATGGGGAGCAAAAGAAAAATCAAATGTGGGGGGAAACACTAAAGGGGCAAGGACAAAGGAATTACAAACCCTCTGCTCTTTGTATTTCTCTGTTGTGAATAAACTGTACCTGCACCCGGGTGGCGCTGGTGTGTGGCGTGCTCTGTGCGAGGGTGGGGCTGGGGGGCACCTTTCCACTGCTCCTCTCCCCTCCCCCGCCCCCCAGACTTGGGGAAGAAAGGAAATGATCCCCACTGTGAGCCTGACCCTGAGTTAAGTGCTTTATGTTCATCATCACATGAAGACACCTGTGAAATGGGTGTGATGTGGGGTAGACATGCGTTTAATCCTGGTCTGCCTGGTTCTGACCTTTTTAAAAGATGTGGTAGGCCCTCCAATGAAGTTCACTGCCCCCGCTTCCAAAGGGGCAGACATCTAGTGACCCCCACACCCTTTGGGGGTCCATCATGAGTACTCTGAAGTGTGGAAATATTCCAGTGACTGGGGGCCCTCAAGAAGCCTCTCACACACATTTTCCTTGTAGAGGTTACTGTTTTGATTGGGAGAGAAGTGCAGGAATTAATTGGACAGAGTCTGTCAGGGCCATCGCTGTGCTAGATATGAGGAAAGGAGATGAATCGCCAACAGCTCATCTTCTGGAAGTTCACTTCTTCCTCGGAGCCCTCACAGTCCTTGGGTGTCCAGACCTGGTTGCAGGTGATGGATGGTAAGCCCAACCAAATGGAGGTTTATGGGCTCATGAACAGGGCAGTGCAGGGATCAGGCCAGGACTCAAACAATGTCTCTCCAGCTCTCCACTAGGAGCTCTGGTGGTGCAGTAGTTAAAGCATTCAGCTGCTAATCAGAAGATAAGTAGTTTGAACCCACTGGCCACTCCATGGGAGAAAGGAGGCAGTCTGCTTCCATCAACATTCACAGCCTCGGAAACCCAATGGGGGCAGGGCAGCTCTACTCTGTTTTACAGGGGAAAAAAACATTGCCATCAAGTCGGATCTGACTCACAGCAACCCCTCCTTGGGCTTCCAAGGCGGTATCACTACGGAAGTAGATTGCCCAACCTTCCTTCGGAGGAGTGGCTGGTGGGTTTGAACTGCCAGCCTTCTGGTTAGCAGTCAAATGCCTTAGGCACTACGCCACCAGAATGACTATGAATCAGAATCAACTCAACAGCAGTGGGTGTGGTTTTGGAGCTCTCCCCTTGGTTCTGTTCTCAGAGTCAGTGTCATCCTTGCAGCCCAGTAGGGTCACCAGCTCCAGCCTCATGGCCCCCAAGTTTGCATCAGAACCGCTGCCTCTCTCCCAGAAGCCTCAGCAAAAGTTGGGTCATCTTGATTCTGATCAGATCAGGTACCATCCTTGAACCAATTACTCAGCAGGAGAATGTGAATGGCTTACGCCCAGGCCCATGCTGTAAGCCTGGAGCAGCTGGTGAAACCCTCCTTTGAAGTAACATCTCTTCAAGAGAAAAACGGGGTGTGTTAACATCAGACATCAGAAGAAGGAACGGCTGGCAGGCAGCCAAGAACCAGCATGCTTTGTGTAATCTCACAGTCCTTACATCTTTCTTTGAAATTGGCCCCTATTGTGCCTGCCCTGTGCTATGAAAGGAATGGGTTCTGGCAGCCATATTTGTGTTACGTAACCCAGTCCCAGCCACAGCTGATTGACCAAAGCAGGACGCCTGACTCAGAGGGACTCAATCTGCAGACAGCCGGGGGTGTGCTGCCTCTTCAGCCTCATGAGAGCAGATTGTGTCCATCACTTCCCAGCTCCACATTCAGTGACTTTAAATCAGCCATAGTGGGATTTACACAACAGAAATTGGCAAACACTCTAAATCAGGCTTTTTTTTTTTCCTTAGCCAGTTGGCCAGTTGGTTAACATTTACCACACAAGTAGTTAAGTGCTTGACTATTAACAACTATTAATGAACCTTTATGTTCATCATCAAGTCAAGGAGTAATTTTTTACCAGGGATGTGGGAGAGAAATGTAATTAACGCTGGTCTGCCTGGTTCTGAAGCCTTTTTGGATGTGCTGGGTCCTCCAGTGAAGTTCACTGCCCCTATTTCTAGAAGGGCAGATAGGTCGAGTCACCTCCACACCCTTTTGGGGGTCCATCATGAGTCTATCTTGACTATTAAAGGTTAACAGTTTAAACCCACTCAGAGGTGCACTGGAAGAAAGGCCTGGTGATCTGCTTCCAGAAGATCACAGCCTTGAAAACCCTGTGGAGCACAGTCCTGCTCTGACACACTAGTTGCCATTAGCCGGAAATGACTCGACGGCAACAGGTTAAACATTTAGCAGCACACCACTGAATGCAGTCCACTTTCCCTTTCCACAGGTTAGGAACTAGTGAGTTCTAAGTATTAGACATGAATCGATTAATTTAAGCCTCACATGCACTGTTACGGATTGAACTGTGTTCCCCAAAAAAGAGATGTTGAAGTCCTAATCCCTGTACCTGTGAATGTGACCCTGTTTGGAAAGAGGGTCTTTGAAGATGTTATTAATGTGATCATTCAATGGATGAGGAATGAATCAATCAGGAGATGGCAAACCCTGTAGACTGGAGGCTGGAGTGGCTGTGTAGGCCCAGACATCAACAGAAGGATAAAGGAGGCAGAGAAACACACAGATGGACAGAGAATGTGGACAGCCCGCCAGTGGCAGCCTCTGTTCTGACTTTCAGTCTCCATCCTCTGGCCAGGTTAAATTTCCTGTTTTGTTCTCACATCAGTGATTTTAAATTGCTGGTGGTAAGTTAAGTAACCTTTTTGTGTCTGATTTCCTCACCTGTAAAATGGGAGGAATAATAGTAATGAATTTACAAGGTGGATATATTCATTTCTTATGGCTGCCGTGACTAAGTACCACAAATTGGGTGGCATGTAAGAACAGAAATTTATTATCTCAAGTTCTAGAGTCTAGAAGTCCAAATCAGGGCGTCAGTGATGCTGATTCCTTGTGAGGGCTCCAAGAGAGAAACTATTCCATGCCTCTCTCCTGGCTTCTAGTTGTTGTTGTTGTTGTTGTTATGTGCCATCGAGTCCAGTCAGACCTGACTCATAGCGACCCCCTCCTTGGGTTTCCAAGGCAGTATCACTATGGAAGTAGATTGCCCCATCTTCCTTCCAAGGAGTGGCTTCTAGTAGCTCCAGGCATTCCTTGGCTTGCAGCCACAGGTCACATGATCTCATTCTTCTATCTCTGTCTGTGTTTCTTCTCCTATTTTATAAGCACAGCAGTCATACAGGATTAGGATCCATCCCACTCCAGTATGACCTCATGGTAACCAAACTAATAACCCAAAACCAAGAAACTAGCAACATCACCACCCAATTTTCAAACACAATCACATTCACAAGCACAGGAGTTAGGACTTCAACATATCTTTTTTTTGGGGGGGGGGGCAGGTAGGTGGTGGGACAATTCAATCCTTAACAGTGGATGTGAGTGAGGATTAAAGGAATCAATACATGGCTGATGTTTAGAACTGTACTTGGTACACAGTAAGCACCCAATATAAATGTAGTTATTTTTCTTACTTGGTGTAGCCTGGTGAATCTGTGTTCCTTACAATCAATGATCCCTAGGTTGACCTTGTTTGGGACTCTCCAGAGGTGGCATCTGAGCTGCATAGCAGAGGAAGGCAGTTGGAACAAGTGAAGATTTTACATGTAGCGGCAACACCAAGGGACATGGGGGGTCTGATTTTCACCCGCTCACCTGTTGAGGGTGTGAGAGAGAATGTCCTGTGGGTCCTCCTAGCATAGGTGCTGAGGACAGAACTGATAAGGAAGTCCACAGTCTATAGTTGGCAGCTCTGGTGGTGTAGTGCCTAAGGCATTTGACTGCTAACCAGAAGGCTGGTGGTTCAAACCTACCAGCCACTCCTCGGAAGGAAGGTTGGGCAATCCACTTCCATAGTGATAACGCCTCGGAAACCCAGGAGGGGTTGCTATGAGTCAAATCTGAATCCACGGCACTGGTTGCGGTTGCAGTAGTCTATAGTTGCAGAAAGACTCCCTTCTTGGACTTTTGCTTTAGTCACCACTCTCTCCTTAGACTTTTGAGCTGCTTGGGTGAGAAAAAAACAGACACTCCATTGCTTCTGAGTCAGTTCTGACTCATGGCGATCTCACATGTTACAGAGTAGAACTGTGCTCCATAGGGTTTCCATGGAAGCAGATTGCCAGGCCTTTGTCCCATGGAGTTGCTGGGTGTGTTCAGACCTATTAACCTTTTGGTCTGCAAACCATTTGCACCATCCAGGGGACTTGGGTAAGGTAAAGGAGGCCACTATTCCCAAGAAGTTGCCCCACCTGCAGCTTCTTTGAACCCTCTCCACCAACAGCACCAGGCTACCCCCAGCTTGGGATGTGGAAACCCACAACTGTGCCACTTATTTCCCTTGAAAAAAGGAAATGATTGTTCTTTGGTGAGTCCGTTGGACTCCATGAACTTGCTGGAGAAGGGGTAGGTGAGAAGAGGGAACAGGCAAGTGACATTTTCTGAAGAAGCACAATAACTCCTGCAAGGAGTGATTAGAATCCCCACTTTACATATGAACAAACCAGTGAGAATAAGGAATTTGTCCACAGTCACAGAATTAAAGAGGTGCTGATTCATGTCTATATCTTACCAGCCCAAGAACTGATCTCCAGGGGCCTCGGGGTTAAGTTCAGTGTGAAGGTTGCAGGGTAAGTTGGAGGATATTTTTCCACTAGAGGAGGGGCTCTACCACCTCTATAGTCATCATGCAATAACCTATTCTTAGGCACACATGCCTCATTTTCATAATTAATCCAGACCAAAGGCCTTCCGGGTTTTGCCATTCTAATTTAGGTAAGAGGCCCTGGGGAATTTGGAATTGCTACTGAAAGGGGAGAGAGCTATTTTATATTAACAATAACTTAATCTGCTTGTAAAAATTATCAGATTGTGAAAATCCTCAGGGTTGGGCCAGGTAAATACTTGGCATTGCTGCCATACCTGGGAAAAATAGAAATGTAATAAAAAACCCTCAAACTCACTGCTATCAAGTTGATTCCAACTCACAGTGACCCCTTGGGTTTGTGAGGTGGTAAATCTTTACAGAAGTAGATGGCCAGTCTTCCTTCCACAGAGTTGGGTTTGAACCACCAACCTTCTGGTTAAGTAGTCAAATGCCTTAGGCACTGTACCACCAGAGCTCCAGAAATGCAAGGTGGATGAGAATGCTAAAGGACCTTGGAGACCTGGTAAGGAAGCCCACCCTCTCAAGGCCCAGTTTTCCCAGTTGTCAGACAGTATCTCAGGGGCTCCCAGTGATTTACCTATCTCCTGTGGTCTGTGTCCAGAGGAAGAAGCCACTTTTCCTGAAGGTCCAGACGGCTTCACACTCCCATTCTGAGTCTTTTTTTTTTTTTTTTTTACCCACACTCCATGTTGTTGTTGTTGTTGTTATGTGCCATCGAGTCAGACGAGACTCATAGCGACCCCTCCTTGGGTTTCCGAGGCAGTATCACTACAGAAGTAGATTGCCCCATCTTCCTTCCGAGGAGTGGCTGGTGGGTTTGAACCGCCAGCCTTCTGGTTAGCAGTCAAGTGCCTTAGCCACTATGCTACCAGGAGTCTAGATAGCAGCCATGGGGGAGAAAACTTACCTCCCAGAATGTGGCCAAATTTAGCACAATCAGTGGTGAGGCCAGAAAATGTCATTTTTGTGGACTTTGGGCCTGTAGGAAAAAGGGCCATAAGGATAATATTGCAATAAATTACTTTTATTTTGTTGTTATATCAGCTGTGATTCATGCAACCTTGTGTATAACAACGATACGACCTTGTATTAGTTCAGTATGTACAAATTCTTTATGATTATGGGTAAAAGGGCAAAGCCATGACTCCAGGTCACTTCCAATTCTCCATCTGTAGCTCACGCCCCAACGCAGCACTATTTGGCCTGAGGTGCCAGTCATCGCACCCCATGGCTGACATCACACACTAATTCATAGTTACATCCTCTGTGTCCTTAGGTAGTTATGATTCCTCTTTGTGCCTCAGTCTTATCTAAAAAATGTGACTAAAATATCCCTTCAGGAGGCCTCAGATGAATTCAACTGGATTAGAGGTGAAAGTCTGTAGAATACCAGCCTGAGGCACTGTTGCAGTTTTTGCTGAAAGAGGGAAAGGAGGTCTTTCTCTCCAAGGAAGTTAGAAGCTCCCAGAGGCCAGGTCCTCCCTCTTCTTGTCCCTCCCCCCAGAGGTAGGGGTAGGTTCTCTTCAGCCAGTATGTCTCTGCTCCCCTCCACCCCAAGCCCTGCGTGCAATGCTGCTTGCTGAAGGGTCCCCTACTGGCTTCTGGGTCTTCCTTTCCTGTTACTCTCACTCCACACAATCCAGGTGTCAAAGATGCTCTACCTGGAAAGGTTTGGCTAGGAGTAGATGGGTCCCAGAGAAGAGGGCCAGACACCACGCTGCGGCCAGGAGCCGCCCTGAGGCCGGCCCTGGCCCGGATACCTAGTAGCGCACCAGGGCGTATTCCTTGGTTGCCCAGAGCAGGCGCGGGCGGTGAATTTCGGCCCGCATGCCGATTTCCGAGCTCCAGCAGAACTCAGGTGACAGGACTTTGGCAGGTTTCTGCAGCCAGAAGAACTTGTTGAGGTGGCTCTCGTCGTGCCAACGCGCCTCGACCCCGCGCGCGCGGTCCTGCCGGATGGCCTGTGCGCAGTGCGCAGTAAGCCGGCGCAGCGCTGCCACGCTGCCTCCAAACACGGCCGCGTGGTAGTAGAAGTCGCCCTGGTCAAACGGTAGCGCGGCGGCTGAGCGTGCATCGCGCTCGAAGGGTAGCAGGCGCTGCGGCCAGTGGTAGTGCCAGGCGTGCAGCTGTGCCACAGACTCAGCCAGAGCCTCAGGCCCGAAGGCGCCACTGAAGTGCTGGTCCACGTCCATGCAGAACACAAAGTTCGCCTCGCGGCCCAGCCGTCCGCTCAGCGCTACGTGAAGCCTGCGCATGCGCTCCATGGACACATCCTGCCAGCGCCGCTCGCGGTCCACGCGCTCCACGCGCAGCTGGCGGCCCTGGCCTAGCGCCACGCGTGGCACCGCTGACGGGCGCTCTGTAAACACGTAGTACACCACGCGCAGACCCACCATGAAATGCTGCTCAGCTGTCTCCAGGAAGCGCGCCAGATACTTCTCCAGATACCTGCCGGTGGGAAAGAGAGGACAGGCGGGCATTTGGGAGGGTGCGTGGATGGTGCAGGGAATCAAAGTCAGTCTGAACGACCCTCCCCACGTTGCCTTGCTTAATTACACCCTTTACCCTCCTCCCCCAATTCTTGTCTTTAATCCTTTGCCACAAATAAAATCTTTGTAATCCTACCACCTCAGTTCCTGGAACTCCAGAATCCTCTAATTTTTCAATTTTGGCTTGGCAGATTAAAAATGGCTGCAAACTACCTTTCCTATCCTGGACAGATAGGGGTCCGTGGCCTCTCCCTTGAATAAGGGCTTTCCTGTGACTGTTTTGATCAATAGAGTACCAAGGAAGTGATGCTTTGCCAGCAACATTAGCCTTTGTCTTTTTAGAGCTCTAAGCTGTTGGTAGCATAGTGCCTAAGGCACTTGACTGCTAACCAGAACGCTGGCGGTCCAAACCCACCAGCCACTCCTCGGAAGGAAGGTTGGACAATCTACTTCTGTAGTGATACTGCCTCAGCAACCCAAGGAGGGTTAGCTATGAGTCGGTCTGATTCCACGGCACATAACAATAACAAGAAGCTGTTCCAGAACTGTGGTGCTACCGTGCTGTGAGGAAGCCCAAGGTAGCCTTGTAGAGAGGGATCTCCCATCAGTCTTTAGCAGTTGTAGTCATCTCATTAGAGACCTTGATATCTTGGAGCAAAGAGGACCCTTTTCTGCTGGGCCATGTCAGAATTGCTGACCCACAAAATCATAAGATATAATAAATTGTTTTAAATTGCTGAATTTGGGGTAATTCCTTATGTAGATTACCTGAATCCTTATGATACTGAAAATTTTGTATTAACAGAAACTTAGGATCCTAGAGTTTTGAAATAAGTAATAATGCCTAACATTTTTTAATATTTATCATATGGCAGAAACTGTTCTAAGTCTGTGTGCATTATCCTCACAATTTATTATTACTTCAGTTTTTCAGATAAGGAAACTGAAACACAAAGAGCTTTAGTAACTTGCACAAGTATACCCATGAATAAGTCTTAGCACCAGCATATGAACCCAGCTTCACATACTGCCAGCTTAAAATCTGAGCCTGTTTCTTTGCCTGTACTTTCTCTCTTCCTCATGGAGCTGTGGGAAGCTGGAATCGAAGACCTTGGAAGCCTCAGAATCCTACTGTATGGATTCACAAAACCTTGAAACTTAGTCTCCTAGACCTCAGGACCTGAAATTTCTGGACCCTGAGACTCTGGCACCTAGGGTTGATTCAAGAAGTACTCCTTAGCATTCCTGACAAAAGGGGGGCGGACTGAGACCCCAGGAGAGGCCATGGCCCCCAAGCGACCCAGCAGCCCTTAGCACTTGGTCCTGTTTGCCTCCTTGCCTCCCAGGGACCCTTCTGGAAGGTAGATACTCAGCTTGGACACTCCCTCCCATTCATAATGAGGAGGTCAATATCTCCACCATTTCTTCTCCACTTTCCATTCCTAGTTACTTCTCACACTTGGAGGCCCACCCATTGTGCTGGCCATTCAGTTCTTTGCTCACTGCTGTAGAGATCCTGTTCTCCATTCTCCCTAGCCACCTGCTCCCATGGCCACTCCCTCCAGTTGGTCATCATCAGCTTCTATTCTGCCTCCAAAATTGTACCCTGACCTATCCCACTCTGAGCATCACCTGATTCTTCCATCTTACTCTTTACCCTCTGAATATTCCTACCTCACTAAGTCCTCTGATCTGCTGACCCTACCACTTTCTCAATATTCATCACCCCTCCTCTCTTCATTTCCCTCTTAACCCAACTTGGATTCCCTGGTCCATCAGTAATAATTACTCCTTAGCAGAACTCTGCAGCTCCCCAGCCCCTCTCCATCAGAGATGAAGTACTGTGTACTGGCACCTGCCCAAGCCTGTGTGTGACCTCCAATGGGCACTGCACCCAAGTCTTCCCTTCTGTTTACCCAGTTGCTTTCCCATCTCATGACTCACCTCACTGTCATTTTCTCACCACAAACCTGGTAATGCCTCCATATGGGACAGCTCCAGCCTCCAGGCAGCTTCCTTCTAGGACATGGTTCTGAGCTCCTGGCTATCTGTGCTGGGTGGGCTTGATAGTGTTGGTATCCAGGAGGTAGTGGGGGTTGGTCCTGCCCCCACCCAGGGAGCCTGAGACAAGGGGTGCTATCTTTGTCCCCTGCTTCACCTTGGGTCCCATGGCACAGGGTGCCCCCATCTCTTACATGCCATGAATGCCCCTACCCCACTCCCTGCCTGGGCAGCACCCTCTGCTCCCCAAGCCTTACCTGCCTACAGCAAAGACGGTCAGCCCAATGGTGAGGTTCTTCTGTCTAGCCTGTTGCTGGGCCACAGCTGGGTCAAAGATGCCATCCCAAATAATGGGGGCCCCCCAGGAGGTGCAGGTCAGGACTTCAGGCCGGGCCCTGGCCGGGGCAGGGTGGAGATAGAGGTTTATCAACCTTCCCACTTGATGCATGCTTGCTGCCACCTCCCCAGTGCTGTGGGCATCCACAACGAATCAGACCCAGTGCCTACCCTGAGCAGCCTCTACACAGAACTGACACAGATAGGTGCAGAACTGGGAGATATGTGCCCTGAAGGGGCCACTGGGGCTGGTGGGCTGAGTGTCTGGCTCTGCGGGAGTGAGGGATGTGAGATGTTCAGGGACACTGAGCCAGAGCTGTGCTGAATAGGTGGGCATTCTAGGGTGGGAGGGATGACAACTCCTTACCAGGGACGCAGGAGACCCGTGAAATTGTCACTCAGGGGCATTCTGGCCAAAGGGCAGGTACCCATGGGCATGAAGACTTCCAGTTGCCTATGGGGTAAGGGGCTGCAGTGAGCCAGCTTGTCTTCAGAGCCCTCTTGTTTTGCTCCTTCCAAGGAGGGAGAGCCCACAAGGACCACTGCCCCAGGCTGAGAAGGCTATCACCCTCCATCCCTGAAGAAGCCACTTAGTAAGTAGATCTATAGGGTTTCAACCTCCAACCTGGTGGGCCCCACCACCACCTCGAGTGCTGGGGAGGAGATTGTACCTGACTACAGGGAGCCCATACAGAAGCAGGCCTAGGGTACCAAGTGTGAGTAGGATCAGCAACCAGAAGATTCTCTTCCAGGCCCTGGGAAGAGGGGTGTCATCAGCAACTCATTTACACACACACACACACACACACACACACTTATGTAATTTTAAATTTTCCTTTTATTAAATTCTCTGTTCACATGGCACAGACATTCAAAGGAGTAAAAAGGTATATGGAGTGAAAAGTATTTCCTGTTTCCAGCTACCCAGTTCCTCCGCATGGAGGAAACCGGTGTTACCAGTTTTCTGTGTCCTTTTCAGACATAGCCTATGTATATCCAGGCAAGATATATATATATATCTGGTGCACAGTAGTTAAAGCATTAGGCTGCTAACCAAAATATTGGTGATTCGAACCCACCAGCCACTCCACGGGAAAAAGATGAGGCAGTCTGCTTCTGTAAAGATTTATAGCCTTAGAAACCCCATGAGGCAGTTCTACTCTGTCCTATAGGGTCACTATGAGTCGGAATTGATTCGATGGTGGTGGGTTTTGGTATTTAATATATAAATTACATGGCAGCAAGTGCACACACGCACACATACACTTGCTCTCCCTCTTTCTTTTGCCCCCATAAATGGAGCACAGTAGACATGCTGTTCTATATCTTGAGCTTTTCACTGAGCATTGTATCTTCAAAGTTATTTCATCTCAGCCAAAAGAGCTTAAAAAGCTTCTTAACCCTTTTTTTCCAGCTACCTAATATGCAGTTGATTGGCGCTAACTAAGTAATTTACCTAACCAGGCTCCTTCTGATGAGTATTTAAATTTCTAATCATTGCTTTTCCCAGCAGCACTATGACTAGGGCAGGCTTGAGGGCAGAAACAGTAGGAATTGGGATGCTTAGCCTGGGCGGAGGGTAAGACTGACCTTGAACAGGAGGAGAGGCCAGGAGGAGATGCAGGGAGTTTGTGGCTTGGTGGTTAGGAGTTGAGAGCTGTCTGGGATTTAGAGCTGAGTTGCTGGGCTGTGTTGAGAGCTGGCAGCGGTCAGGGCCCAGTCTGTGGTGGCTCCAGCAGAGCCCAGCGGCCTCATTCCTGGCTCAGAGGAGGCGGACTGGTGGATTTGTCCACAGTTGGTTGTTTTCCAGGAAGATGCAGACTGTTGAGAATAAGCTCCTCCTCGGAACTCATCCCACCTTCCCCAACCCCATGGTGTACCTTTGCCTCTAAAGAGCCTGGAACTTTAATGGTGACTGTGGTGGTTAAGTTTATGTATCAGCTTGGCTGGGCCTGGTTGACTGGTTGGGCAGCTCTATGTAGTATTCCCCACAATGAGACTGGTCATCAGCTCCATGGAATCTACTGTGAGCAGCTGAGTAGCTGTCTTAGGGATGTGGTCCGCTTTCTGTATATAAGGAGAAGCCTTGGGGAATGGTCTCTAGTTTATGGCATGCTTGAACCCTGCATGTAGCCGTGTTGTTGTTCAGCAGCCTGCCATGCTCTGATAACCTTGGAACTTACAGTGGACTTGAATTAATGGCCTGCTGTGTTTGGTAACATCGGGACTGTGCTGTTTTACTTGTCAGCCTTGGGCTTGTCAGTCTCAGTAGCCAGAAGCTATCTGAGTGAAGAAAAGCCTCTAGCTCCAGTGGGTCAGGAGCAGGAGGCAGAGCTGAAGCCCAAGGCTGAGGGGCTTTCACCAAGCCCCTAGAGCTTGGCACTTGGAACTTGGACTTAATGCCTCCAAACTGTAAGAGAATAAACTCCTATTTGTGCAGCCATTCCTTTTGCGATATATTCCTGTCAGAGTGGCACAAGGTAACCAGAACAGTGACCAACATGGACACTGGAGCCAGATCCCTGGGTTTGAAGGCCAGCTCCATCGCTTCTTAGCATTCTGACTTGGGCCAGGTTATGGACCTCTTTGTGCTTCAGTCTCCTTATCTATTAAATGGAGTTAATAAGAACACTTCTGTTATGGATTGAACTGGTGGTGTAGTGCCTATGGCTTTTGACTGCTAACCAGAAGGCTGGCAGTTCAAACCCACCAGCCACTCCTCAGAAGGAAGATCAGGCAATCTACTTCCATAGTGATACTGCCTCAGAAACCCAAGGAGGGGTTGCTATGAGTCAGATCCAACTTGACAGCAGTGAGTTTTTTTTTTTTTGTTTTTTTTTTTGGTGTCCCCAAAAAGTGTGGGTTGTAAATCCTGATCTCTGTAACTGTGCTTATAATCCCATTTGGGAATGGGTTTTCTTTGTTGTGGACTCTTGACAAGAGGCCATCTTAGTGTAGGGTATGTTTTAAGCCAATCACCTTTGAGACATGAAAAGAGCCAATTAGGACAGAGAAGCACAGATGGGGGAAGTTGGATGCCATGCCACATGAAGATCACTGTGACTGGCAAGGGATGGAAGCTGAAAAGAGACAAGGACCTTCCCCCAGAGCCAACACAGAGAGAAAGCCTTCCTCGAGAGCCGGTGCCCTGAATTTGGAGTTCTGGCCTCCTAAACTGTGAGAAAATAAATTCCTGCTTGTTCAAGGCTCCCTCTTAGGTTTCTGTTATAACCATACTAGATAACTAAGGCTAATGAACAAATCTCTCCTTACCAATGCTCCTTACCAATGAGAATGGCCAGACTTCATCTCACTTTGGTCAAGTTGTCAGAGGGGACCAGTCCCTAGCAAAGGAGATCATGCTTGGTAACGTAGAGGGTCAGTGAAAAAGGGGAGAACCCTAGAAGAGATGCATCAACCCAGTGGCTACAACAATGGGCTCAAGGATAGCAACAATTGTGAGGATGGCGCAGGACCAGATGGTGTTTCATTCGGCTATACATAAGGTCACTATGAGTCTTAACAAGTTCAATGGCCCCCAAGAATAACAACAGATACCTAAGACACTTTCCTTGAAGGGTTGTTGTGGACATCAAGTTAAGACATGCTAAGTGCTTAGAACAAGACCATGCACAAAGTTATAGCTCAGTACATGTTAGCATTGTTGTTGTTGATGATGATGATGATGACCATTCTTGAACAAACCTTCATCATTCCCTGGGCAACCTCCCAACTTCATTCCCTGCTCTACAAATACTTCCAAAATCTGGCTCCCCCTGGCCTCCTTCAAGAAGCCTGCCTTCATCAGCCCCTCTTTGCCCTGCCTTTTCTGCTACCCCACCCTCACCCCCTTTAACAACATTCCTTGGATTGTTTGTCTTTTTGTTATTGAGGTGTTGGAGTGTTCTATAAATTCTAGAGATAAGTCCCTTG